ATTTATCAAATTACTAGAATAATTTTACATTTCAGAGACGGTGAAAGAAATTAATATTACTGAGCATTTACTATGTGGTAGGATTATTACAAATACTATATTATTTAATCCTTGCAACAATATCTATGAGTTAGGGCTTATTCTCAATAGTATCACTGAGAATGAAGAACTAAGACTTAAAGGTTGGGTCTTTTCCAGGGTCATAGAGCTAATAAACAGTAAAGCTGCAAAGAAAGAGAGAATAGGAATATGGATAGGGCAGTCGAACAGCAGTATGTGGGCACTGTTGTCAGAGGTGGGGGATTTCCAAAAGAAAGGATAAATATCTCTGCAAGAAAGGCATCATTGATTAGTTGTTATTTTACCCTCTACGAAACATTCCCTGCCAGTCTTCAGAGAACAATTCTGTTAAGCTTAAAAGGGTAACTTTTAGTTTGTTCACCTTTATAGCGTAAGAACACAGTATTGCTGCTTTTGTAAATTCATGTTTGCTAAACATATTTAAACGTCATTGCATTTTTAAACATTTATTTCTGAAATTTAATTTTATTTCTGAAGTAAGTTTATCAGTAATACAGAACCAATGGGTGTCATTGTGATGTTTTAATAAGTAATACAGTAAAACATTTTTTTAGGTAATAAGAGAATGGAAGCCCCAACACTGAGGCTTGGCTAACTTCTACGAGAAAGGCAGGTTGGGGTATGTTTGGAAGGCGGTTGTTGGAGAGGGCGGTGGTAGAGAAGCAGGCTAGGTTAGGTAAGAGGGATCACCTGGTGTCCTTAAAACCCAGGGTTAAGAGCTTTATTTAATGAAAATAGATAGTATCGTGCGAGTGATATATTCCAAACCAATTATAAACTTTTGGAGAAAAAAGGAGAGACAGGAGGGAGAGGTTGGGGGCCCGGGCGATCCATTGCTTGGAGCTCGGCTTAGCCAGGCTGGGGGTCCTGCGAGGGGCTGGGGAATCGGCACTCTGCCGGCCTCCGAGCTAACGGCGGGGAGGTGAAGACGCGGCCCGCACGCCTCGCGGGGAAGGTAGGGAGCGAGGCCGCACGCTCGCGGTGAGATGGGGTCCCGGTCCAGCCGCCCCGGTAGTGGTCGGCCTCTGGAGCCGTCTGCCCCGCAGGCGGCGGACGGGCGCGCTTTGTTGTCGGCCAGCCGGCCCCAGCCGCTGGCCCGGGCTCGGCTCCTCAGCCGCGTTTCCAGTCAGAACGCGGCGAGGCCGGAGGCGCGTTCCGGCGCGGGGTGGGCCCGGCTCCCGCTCGGGTGGGACTCTCACGGAGCTGGCTGAGTGGGGTTTTGTCCTGGTGACTCCCGGAGTCTCCTGTGTTTGTGTTCAGGTGTGTGTCGCCCCCTGAGCGAGACCTGGTGGGGCTTGCGCATCTGTTCTAGCCGTCTTGTTTTCGAGCGATGGGAACCGAGATCTGGGGGTGGAGTGACCGGCCCCAGCGCTGGGGACTTCGGCCACACACGGGGCCCTAAGGCTTCTGCCTTGCGGGTAGGAGTCTGGGTGGGCTTGCTTGGATTTAGGATATGCACTAGGAAATCCACAGGGATATTTTTGTTTTAGGTCCTCATTCGGTTCCAGGCCAGACCCCTCCCCTGCCCCGTCGTACCTGGGGAGAGGGAGTGAGATCTGGGGCTCGGACGATTGTATATAGTCCTTTCCCTGGCGGAGGCTCTTGGAATAACTTGTTCCCATTCCCTTACTTTGTCAAATTCTCTGCAGTCGTGCGTGATGGTCGGTTAATCCGGTGAATGTTGGGCTCACCCTCTTCACTGACTAATGATTTCTAGCAAATCAATAATTTGTTTATAACTTTCTGCACTTTTGAAATAAGAAATCTATTTCTGAGAGTACAAATTGTAAGGGATAACTAATAGATCTGAAATTTTGTACAAGTAAAGATTATAGGAAAGAAAATGCTAAATTGTCATTAATATAATTAGAGAAGGTGCAGGTGGGCTCCAAAGGCATCAAATTATGTAGTCACAAAAATAGTTTAACTATTTTAAAAGTGACTAGTTAGAGCAGAACACTTAAAAATAAAATAAAGCCATTTGGGAGGATATTGTTTATTGTGTTTTGCAATATAATTTTGTACCACATGCTGAAACTAAAACTTCGTAGTAGGCTGGGCGTGGTGGCTCACGCCTGTAATCCTAGCACTCTGGGAGGCCCAGGCGGGAGGATTGCTCGAGTTCAGGAGTTCGAGACCAGCCTCAGCAAGAGCAAGACCCCATCTCTACTAAAAAGAAAAAAGAAATTAGCTGGACAACTAAAAATGAGTAGAAAGAATTAGCCGGGCATAGTGGCACATGCCTGTAGTCCCAGCTACCCGGGAGGCTGAGGCAGGAGGATCCCTTGAGCCCAGGAATTTGAGGTTGCTGTGAGCTAGGCTGACGCCTTGGCACTCTAGCCCGGGTGCAACAGAGTGAGACTCTGTCTCCAAAAAAAAAAATAAAAACAAAACTTTGTAATAAGTAATCTAACATGAAGAAATTTAGAAAATCTTAATCTAAACCTAGAATTTAGATTTAATTAATTAAAAATTTAGCATCCCTTCACATCACAAACTCGTACTAAAATGCAGGAAGATCCCTTTTAGGGCCTGTATTTAAAAAAAAATTTATTTACACAATGAAAGTGCCAAATTCATCACCTTTAGAACCTTCATGATTTGATGACGTCAATCCTGAACTAGAAAAAAATTCACATTTTTAAACTGAGCATTAAAGTTTTGGAGGGCAAAATTTTAAGTTTCAGAATTAATGGAAAATTATTTTTATTTAATTTTTTTTATAAATTGATTATTGCTAATACATTTATTCCACAGTGAATACTTACGGACCATCTATTATGTGCCAGGCACTGTCCTGGATTATTGGAATACATTAGTGAGCCAAAGTCCCTGTTTGCTTTCAGGGGAGAAAGATAGTGAAAACTAAACATAATATAATGTGAGTTATCAACTCATTATGAAGAAAAATAATGCAGGATAAGGGGCTGAACAATATTAGTTAAGGGATTTTTTTTTCCATAGGGCTGCATCAGAATTAAAATACATACATAATATTTTTATTCTGAACCAAAACAAATTGTATTCTTGTATATGCTAGAACTAGAAATCAAAAGTTCTTTTGAAAATATTTTCTGTTTGTATAGGTTTTTCAATTATAACATTTTCCCCAAATAATTTAAATTTGTAGTTTTATTGTCTTATTTGCAGTTTCTTTTAGAATAAAGAATTCCAGTATGTAAATGTTAGCCTAAAGGTTTTCTACTTAAATTCTGAGGTAGCAAAGCCATATATAAAAGTGGTCTGGTGAATTTAATTTAGAAAAAGGTTTGTTTTTGTTATTTTTTAAAAACATACAGTTTTCCTAAAACTAGAAAGGGAACATTGTATTTGTTACTTTGTGGACAATATAAAAACATGATTAGCATTTTCATTTATACTTTTTCATTTGTTTTCAAATTCTGAAATTGTTTACTTAAAGAAAGATGTTAAAGACTCTGAATAACTCCCTTCTGTCTCCTGTCCTATTATCCTAGGCTTCTATTTTTCATGCAGGTAAATTGTTTTAGACATTTATAGAACCACATTAATTTGTTTCATTTTTTTCTTTTTACTATTTCTGTTGGTGACTGATTAATAAATTGAGAAAAATTAAGAAGAGTATTAAATTGAACAGATGGAAGGCGGAAACAGTCCTAAAATATATACAGGTTTAGTCTTCTTACCAGTAGCCTTTTGTCAAGGGGTGCGGGTGAAAACATTTCTCCGTTGCCGCATGACTCCCGCTTGTATCTTACCCCACATCAGGGAGGATTCAAAATTGGACGGACATAATCTGACACGGTAATGTGGGGTTCTCCACAAGATGGCGCTAATATAGTTTCTTTGATTTTAGTTTCTATCCTGAGGACAAATGTGCAGTGCATTAACTATCACAGAAGAAATAGAAATGTGATTTATGGTTTATGATTTGTGCATTTTTTTCATGTTTTGTCATATAGAATGTTCTATCATGTTTCAGAATTTAGAAAAAAATTGGGACGTAGTGTTATGTGCAAGGAGAAGTAATTGCAACGTGAAGGGAGCAATGTATGTATCTGTAAAAATGGTCTCCTATCACATTTGAGTCTTTGTTCAGCCCTGCATTTTTGTTATATTCCTAGGTAACCAGTGCTGAACGTTTTTATCCTTTACATTTGGATAACATCTGTGAATGTTAAAATTATCTTTTTAAAAAGAATGTAAACATATGTATGAAGTATATGTATTACATAATATGAATATAAATATATATAATATGTTAAGCCTGTAAATTTTTTATTTTGGGAAGGTACAAACACATGCAAAAAGTAAGCAATATTATAATGAATCCCATGTACCTATTACATAGCTTTAGCAATTATCAATTCATTGCCAATATTATTTCATCAGTACTTTTCTCTCTACCTTTCCCCATTTATTTTGAAGCAAATCCCTGCATATGTACATAGTGTATTGTTAGAGGTATACACATTCACAATAAATGTACTATCTTAACTCAAAAATAATGATATGAACAAAATATTTGGCATCAAAGGAATGATTAATTTTGTCTTGGGGAAGGGGTCAAATTAAGAGAAGCCTTTGAAGAAGAAATGACGTTTGACCTATACCTTGAAGGATGGATGGGAATTTGTCAGATGGAGAATAGAAGAAAACACATTCTAAGCATTAGTGTCTTATGAAGAGAGGGGTGCAAGTGTGAAAATACATGAATGAGTGGAGATCAGAGAATAATATATTTGAATATTGAGGAATTTTGGAGGAAGTTGCAGAAGATAAAACTGGGAGGATGGTCTGTGGTTCTATTTTATAGGACATTGTGGGAAATTAATAATTACAGTTTTCCTATCCAAAAATATTTTTCTACATCCTTTTAAATAATATATAAATTACTTTTTTATGTTTTGTAGATTTATGACAAAGTCCAGTTTTCAACAATGCTGAAATCAAATAACTGCTTATTTTCTTTGGAAAATTGGTTTTTTGAAAAACCAGGTGAAGTTGAAAAGTAAGTCTGTCTTAAAGAATGATAACATAGTGTATTTTTAAAGGGTTATTTTCTCCATTTTAGGGAGTTTTAATTTTCTCTCTGGTAAATAAAAAATGAAGGATCAACAGAATGATGTTTCAGTTATATATTTGGTAAGCATGGAATTCAGATATAAGGGAATAACTGAAGTTTAATGTTTTGAATGTTACAATTTTTTAAATAGAATAGATTTTTACCTATTTGGCTTCCATTTATTTGTATTTCTGGTTTGTTCAAATTATTTTTGGCCAAGGTAAAGACTGGAAATAATAGTCAAAGAATAGCTCAGGGCAAGGAATAATGGTACCTTTTGGAAACAGAATGGGCAGTGTGCCAAAGGACAAGTGTGATAGGAAATTCAGTGCAGGCAGGAAGTAGGGGTGAAAATAAGATATGAAACCAAAGGAAACAAGAATAGAGAGTAGGTAGTCTGTTAAATACTGGCTTTTATGGATTTTCACATGTGAATTGCTCTCAATTCTGAATTTTCTGTGTATTTGTTCTATGGTATTATCATATTTTAATGAAGCATATTTATTGCCTCATTTATTCTTTCATTTATTTATTCAAATATTGATTGAATGATGAAAGGGATATAAAAAGGGTGAAATAGACTTTTACTTCAAAAACATTAAAATCTAGTATAGGAGATTAAACACCCATATGGAAAGATCATTAATAAATAATGTGATCATGTAATTCATCATCTGGACTGGGACACTTTTGAGAGGGAAAGAGTACATCGAACTGGGGCAACAGGTGTTAATCAGAACTGGCCTATGCAAATTTTAGAACATATTCAAAGGTCATCTTTCTAACAATACAAAGTCAACAGTATGTACAAAGCAAATGATAAGCATATGTTCATGCAATGAAATTTCAAATTTGGAAGAAAAGTCATCTTTGGCTACATGATCAGGTCTGGCTTTGGGGTAATAGGAAGAGACTTCAGCAGGCTTCGAAGGATTTGCTAATTGCTGTAGGGAGAGAGGAAGTTGGTGTTTGAAGGCACAGTGTTATAGCAAGACAAAAAGAATGAGATGGGACAGTTCATGGCACTTTTACAGAATAGTGTATAGAGAAATTTCCTAGAGTAGACGATTCTTAAAGGAAAAACATTGGGACATAAAGTTAGAAAAGTAGGGTAGATTGTGGTAGGCGTTAAATACCAGAATAAGGATCTTGGACATAATTCTCTATGTCTTAAAAGTCATGGAATTAAATCAACAGTTATTGAATAGTATAGCTAATTATACTATGCTAAGTACCACTGATGTAAATGGAAATAAAAACAAAACTGTTAAGTGTTTACAATCTAGAGGGGGTATTAGATATCTGTCTATCTATCTATCTATCTATCCATCTATCTATCATCTCTCTACATGCCCTCCCCAACAATACAGGGTAGACTATAATAAATATAGGTTCAGTCTATAAGAAAAGGGAATGGTGGCCAGTGGTGGCTCACACCTGTAATCCTAGCACTTTGGGAGGCCGAGGCAGAAGGACTGCTTGAGGCCAGGAGTTGGAGACCAGCCTGAGCAAGAGAGAGACCCCATCGCTACAGAAAATAGAAAAATTAGCTGAGTGTGGTAGCTCCCACACCTGTAGTCCCAGCTACTCAGGAGGCTGAAGCAGGAGGATCGCTTGAGCCCAAGAGTTTGAGGTTGCAGTGAGCTATGATGATGCCACTGCACTGTAGCCTGCATGACAGAATGAGATCTTGTCTCAAAAGGAAAAAAAAGAAGAATAGGGAAGGGAGAAAAATCTTTGGGAACCTAGGTGGATATCTTGGAAAAGTTAGGATTTGAGTTGGGCTTTCAATGAATATAAACTCTAGTGTCTAGCACAGTGCCTGGCATATAGTACTCAGTAAATAATTATTACTGGGTTAATGAATGAATAAAATAGTGGAACTTCTATAGGTAGATATGGGGGGTGAGGCAGGGCACAGGGGCAAGCAAAATAAAGTGAATATCTTTGAACAAAGTTGAGAAGAGACAGGATGTTTTATCTATTCGGTATTCAGCAAGTAGTTCAGTTTGGCCCGGACTATAAGGTATGTATAGGAGAGTTAAAACTATAAGTGGTCTAAGGTCACCAGGAAGTTTGGCATTCTTTGGAAGCCACTGAAGAATTTGGAGTAATATGATGAAAACAATTCCAAATGAATGTGGTAAAAATGTGTAAAATATACTTGAGGCAAAGCCTGGAGGCAGTGAGGGCAGTTAAGATACTATTGCTCTCAACCAGATGTAACTTGATTAGAGCCTTGATTATGATAGTGGCAGTGGAAATATAAAGGAAATGATGAATTCAAGAAGCATTATAAGGAAGATACAGTGAAACTTGGTATGTGTCTGGATATAGTGAATAAAAAAGATTATACTATAGTTTGGATCCTGGGTGACTGGGAGAATGATGGCACCTCTGGAAAAAAATTGGAAAATCGTGAGGAGGCTGAATAGTAGAGCTATTATCCTCTTTCTTGGATCTTCTGAAATAATTCTTGTGCAGAAAAGAGTTAACATAGCAGGCCTAAACTGCTATTCTTGAAAAGGTCTACTTGCAAGGCTGGCCTATTGCTGGAGTCTGAGAACTTAGATTTCAGAAAGATTCCCACCATTAACTGGTAACAGTGGCTTACTGTGTGTAAACTGTTTATACAAATGATATGGTTTCTGCTGAACACCTGCTTTTCTTCTGGGATTCGGAAATTTAGGTGTGTGCCAGACAGGGGTTGCTTGCATGATTAGCCCCTAATAAAAACCCTGGGCATTGAGTCCCTAATGAGCTTCCCTTCTTTGGCAACATTTTACGGGTGTTGTCACAACTTATTACTGGGAGAATTAAGTACATCTTTTGGGACTTTGCTGGGAGAGACCCTTGAAAGCTTGTGTCTGTTTTCCCTTGGGCTTTGTCCCATAGCCATGAGTAGGACTGTATGCACAGTCCTATGAATCATCCTAGGGAATCATTGAACTGGGGGTGATACTGGGAACCCTCTGACAGAATTTTAAATAATCTGGCCTATTGTCAGACATTGTCAGGTACGTGTTGTAGATTTTTTATTTGGAAAATATAGCCATAGTAGCTATGGGCTAGGTGCTACAGGAGACAGAAAAATAAAAGACTAAGTCTGTCACTTTAGAGTGCTTAACATCCTAAATGAAGAGATAAGAAATAAATCATAAAATCTTTGGGACTTGGTATAGATAGAATATATAGTGCTCTTCTCAACTTTATTTTCTGCCACCTAGCACTTATCTTTTTGTCCTAATGAAGGACAAGTCAACTCTGATTGGAAAAGAACCATTAAAGCCATATCAATTGATAGGATCACAGCTGAAAAATAAGGAGGGGTAAAGATGTCAACAGGGTGGCAAAAATCTTATCAATTACTGTAGGACTATAAAGAGATTTTCAATTTCAACTGGTTTCTCAGATTTTTTGTGGTTTGTAGATGGTGCTGGACCAAGGATATTTGGGTTACGACATTAATTTGTAATAATATTGTAGGAATATTCTAGAATACCAGTAATGGTATCATTTATACATTGATGACCCATGATTAGTTGTGAGGTATGTCATAAGTAATTTGTTACTTGTAATAGTTAAAATGCTAAAGTTTGGGAATGATTCACCACTTTTATTTAATACGGGAGCAGATTTAAGATTCCTGTTGTTAGAATTTGAATTGGAAAAAAGGAGATGGAGTTATCGCCATTATTTAGGTAGCATATCTTTCACATAGCAGTATCCTTAATCCTATGACACATAAAGGAAAAAATGTTGAGAATGCTGCTGTGTAGGGATAAATCAAAGTGGTGACAGTTAGTTTACAGAATGTTTATCTAAGATTCAGTAATTGAGTAATGTTTAATGAATACACAGTTTCTGATGTTATATATTCATTAACATATATATTCACATTTTTATATTTTATATAGCTATCCAGACAATGAAAAGTCACTGGATTGGTTTCTCCCTCCTGCTCCACTGATTTCAGAAATTCCAGACACTCAGGAATTAGAGGAAGAAATAGAAAGTCATGAACTATTACGTAAGTTAGCACATATTTGTTATGAAGCTAAACCCATGTAGTTCATGTCGATATTAAAAAGCCCTGATTTGATCATTACACGTTATATCAAAATATCATACATACCCGAGAAATATGTACAATCATTATGTAAAATGATAAAAATTCCTTTAATGAAATATAATAAAATGAAAGTCAGAGACTTCTTATTCATAGTAATACTCACCAAATCTTAAAATCTAAAACATTTTCCTTCTTCATACATACATATGCATACATATGTATGCATATTTATGCACAATAAGCTCTCACACACACTTGTTTTGACTAATGTTCTGTGAATATATTTTTCCTCTTGCTAAATTCAGTCACCACTGTTTGGTTTTCCTAGCCCTTTACTAAAGGTAACCAGATCCCTGAAGCATATTGAGTGATAAAAGCAAGATGGAGAAGATTATATATAGTTTGATACCATCTTTATAAAGCTCTAAAAATAAGAACAAACAATACATATGATCTAATGTAATATTGGTAAAATTTTAATTTTTAAATTGGGTCATAGGTTCATGTATATACATTTTATTATTAAGCTTCATAATTTACATATATTTTTATACATAAATATACTCTTGTATCAAGTAATATATAACACATGAAGTATTCATGTAGTATTTTATATATACAAAGATGCTAAAGCAAATTTAAGCCATAATAAGGCCTCCAAACTCCCACTAAACCTCCAAAGATTCTTATAAAGTCTCTGTAAAGAAACCTTTCAAATTCTGTCACCGTGATGAAGACGTTCCTTTATCTTGATTTTAAAAGCAAGATTACAAACTTAAAAGCACTGTATCATATATTTTAATACTGGATCATATTCAGTAGCATTTTATATGATTGGCCATCATATTTTTGTGTGTAAATTATTTGTATAAATTTTAAAATCTTCATAATTATAGTAGATAAAATAGGTAAATATTATAATTATGTGATTAAATTATGGGTCAGGAATTAAACCTATTTATAATATAGGTTCTACATAAATTTAAAATTTATTTTCAATAATTCTGAGTTAATTTAAGTGTTCTTCGGTGATGTAATATACCATGAGTAATAATCACCTGTATTTTAAAACCATATATGGTATTATTTTATTATTGTATTAATACTTTTCTTTTGGCTTTCATATTTAACTGGTAAACTCTTTTGAAAATTTTTATTGAATTTTTTCATCATTTTGAAAGTTATTTTCATGGAGAACATGTAATAATATATTCCTTTTTTGTAGGTCAAGAACAGAGACCAAAAATGTTAACACCAAATTTAAAGATAACTAAAGAAGACACAAATTATATTTCACCAACACAAAAAATCCAATTTGCCTTCCCTTCTAATAAATATGAAAAAGATGATCTAAATTTAGGAGGGGTAGTTAACAATGACTTATCACATGTTGCTGACAAGCCGACATACAGTTCTTGTCAGAAACATAAAAATCACTTTGGCAGTGAGATAGCACCTGAGCAAAATGTTCCTGATGATACAAAATTAGTTAATTTTGCAGAAGACAAAGGAGAGAGCATATCAGCATTCCGGAAAAGGTAATTAATTAAATTCAATAAATAATATTCAATGAATAAAGTTGAATATTTATGTATACATCCCAGAGTATTAAATATGGCAGAATCTGAATGAGAAAAATAGTAAAATTCTGTCTCCTAAATAATTCTGGACTCTCTCTATTCCTGCTACCAAAGTCCTAGTCCTACCCACAAAAATAACCATAATTGTAATATTTAACCATTTTTATCTACTACAAATGATACCACCACAGTACAGGTGGGTCACAGGGATCTTCATTTTTAATAAAATTTCCGTTTGATTGTTATGCGTACTAAAGTTTGAGAACCATTTTCCTAAAGCCCTGGGTTTTAAGGTGGAGAAGTGAAATGAGATTTTCTTTTCTTTAAAAGTTCATTTTGGCCCCAATATGGAGATTGAATTAGAAGGGAATTAAAATATATTGTGAAGAGCCACTTAAAAAGTTATTTTATTAGTCTAGGTAGGAGAAAATGGTAGCCTGACGTAGGACTGTGGTAGCAGGAATGAGAGAAGTCTAGAATTATTTAGGAGGCCAAATTCCACAGGACTTAAATGATTATTGGATATGAGATCTGACTTCTGGGTTTCTGGTTTAAGCCAGAATGATTAAGGATGGTAATGACCTTTTATGAAACAGAGAACTATAAAGGAAGAACAGGTTTTTGGGAAGGTGATGAGTACAGCTTTGGACGTGTTGATTTTAGACACTTAAAAATAGTCCCAAAAGACTGTTGGACATATGGGTTCAGGATCAGAAAAAGTCTAGTTGATAATTTATGGCATGGGAGATGAGGTTATCTGTGGTGTTTGAGGGAAGAAGTGAGGGTATTGAGCTAGAATGAGAAGAGTGGAAGAAATTATAGTGAATGGGAAAGCAATGTAATTGGAATAGTGGTAGGATTGCTGGACACTGTAAACGGCCCAGTTGAAGTTGAGGTCTATAATTTTTTATACCAGCTGTATTAAGATATAATCCACATATCATAAAATTCACCCTTTTGAAATGTACAATTCACTGATTTTTATAATATTCACATAGTTGTGCAGCCATCATTATTATCTCATTTTAAAACATTTTCATTACTCACAAAAGAAACTACATACTAAAAATAATATGTAGTTTCTCTCCATTCCTTCCTCCCCTCAGCACTTGGCAACCACTAATCTACTTTCTCTCGCTATAGATTTGCCTATTCTAGACATTTCATATAAATTGAATCATACAATATCTGGCTGTTTGTGTCTGGCTTCCTTCATTTAGCATAACATTTTCAAGGTTCATTCATGTTGTGTCATGTATTAGTACTTCATTCCTTTTTATGGTTGAATAATAGTCCATCAAATGGATATATCACATTTATTTAATCCATTTATTAGTTTATAGACATTTGGGTTGTTTCTACTTTTTGGCTATTGTGAATAACGTTGCTATGAACATTTGTGTACAAGTTTTTGTGTGAATATATGTTTTCAGTTTTTTTGGATATGTATGTAGAAGTAGAATTGCTGGGTCATGTGGTAAGTCTATACTTAACTTTTTTGAGGAACTGCCAAATTGTTTCCCAAAGTGGCTACACCACTTTACAATCCCATCAGCAATATATGAGGGTTCCAATTTCTTCTTATTGTCAGTCTTTTTGCTTATAGTCATCCTAGTAGGTGTGTGAAGAGGTATCTCATTGTGTTGTTGATTTGTATTTTCGTAATGACTAATTATCTTAATTAATTTGGGCTGCTATAATGAAATACCATAGACTGCGTGGTGTAAATAACAAACATGTATTTCTCATGGCTCTAGAGGCTGGAAGTCAGAAATCAGGGTGAGGCCTTCTTCCTGGTTATGTTCTCACATGGTCTTTCTTTGGTGCATGCAGAGAGAGAGAGATATCTCATATCTTGTCCTCTTTTTATAAGGGCATTAATTTCATCATAGGGAGCTACCCTCATGACCTCATTAAACCTAATTACCTCCCAGACACCAAATACCATAACACTGGGGATTAGGGCTTCAACATACGAATTTGGTGGAGACATAAACATCTAGTCTATCAATGTTGAGCATCTTTTCATGTGATTATTGGCCATTTATTTGTATTTCTTCTTTGGAGTAATGTCTATTCAAATCCTTTGTCTATTTTTTAATTGGGCTATTTGTCTTTTTATTGTTGAGTTGTAAACAGTCCTTTAAATATTCTCAATAAAAATCCCTAATCAGCTATATATTTTGCAAATATTTTCTCCCGTTCTGTGGATTGTTTTTTACTGTTTTGATGGTGTCTTTTGCAGTACAAAAGTTTTAAATTTTGATAAAGTCCAGCTTATCTAATTTTTATTTTATGCTTTTGCTCTAGTGTCATATCTATTTCGTATTACTTTGATTACTTATATTTTTTGTGTCATATCAGAAACTGTTGCCTAATCCAAGGTCATGAAGATTACTCTTATGTTTTCTTCTGAGTTTTATGGTTTTAGCTCTTATACTTTGATCTATGAGCTATTGAGTTATTATTTGTATATGGTATGAACTAGGAGTCCACCTTCATTCTTTTTGCACATAGATAATCAATTGTTCCAGCACCATTTGTCAAAAAGACTATTCTTTCCCTATTGATTATCATGGCACCCTCATTGGACTTAAACCCAAGGTTTGTCTGTTTCCAAAGTCCATGTTTTACTCAATATCACAACATATAGCTAGGAGTCATCCTATAGCATAAGTGTTTTCCTTGTACCCAATACCATTTTGTAATTGAATTCTACTATATCATTCACCAACCATTTGCTTTTGAATTTTCTGTCTTCAAAGATAGAACTGCTGGCATTGGGGGCTACTACAACTCTATAGAGTTTGTTCTAAATTACATTTTTGTATCTAGTTTTTTGAAACACTTGTTCTCATACAAAAACATGTCATTGAGATTAATAGTAAAAATAATTGAGAAAGTATTCTGTGTTTGCACAGTGCTTATTTGGGTGTCATTCCTTACAGAATTCTGTAAGACTGACACCTGCTTTTATTCCCATTACTTATTGTATAAGATGTGAGTGTTGTATTAGGAACCTTAATTGTTATTTTATCCCTTAGAGCTATTATGAACAAATTATTTTGATAGATTGTCTTCCTATCATTTGAATACAATGTAGTCACAAAGATGGTATTTCCTTATTTTCCAGAACTTCACAAAGAAATATTTCTTACACTAAAATGGTTATTGGATAGTGTTTGGGGTGACTTGATCTGCTAATATACTTCATTTACGTCCCTTCCTTTTTGGGGGAAGACATACAACCCTGATTTGATTGGCTAGGAAATATATATATATTTTATCAGGTAGCTTCTTCGGAGCCAAATGCAGTTGCTGACAACTTTTAATTCATGACAAATATGTTAATATATTCCTATAAATTTAACATAAGTATGTTAATGTATTTCTATAACTTGAATTACTTCAGTTAAACTTAACTACTATTAGGTGAATAAAAGTCTCTTTTACTGTAACTATACTTAGTGGCTTTTTTATCTCTCTCTTAAGCATTTTACTGACTTTAAATGGTACGTTAGTTATCTATTGTGTAACAAATTATTCTGAAACTCAGTGGCTTAAAACAACAATAAACATTTATTTCTCATAGTTTCTGTGGGTTAGGAATTTAGGAACAACTTAACTAGTAGTTTTGGCTTAGGGTCTCTCATGAGAATGTGCAAAGATGTTGGGGGCCTCCCACAAGGAGGCTACAATCAAAATGTTAGCCAGGCTGCAGTCATTTGAAAGCTTGACAGGTACTCTAGGATCCGTTTTCAAGGTGACTCACCCTCCTTGGCTGGCAAGTTTGTGCTGGTTGTTGACAGGAGGCCTTAGTACTTCTCCACTTGGGCCTCTCACAGGGTTGCTTGAGTGTTCTTCTGACATGGTGGCTAGGTCCCTACACGGGAGATCTAACAGATCATGTGGAAGGGACAATGTCTTTTATAACATAGCCTTGGAAATCACACACCTGCACATCTACAGTACTCTACTAATTACACAGGCCAATCCTAATTCAGCAATTCAATTTGTAGGAGATTGCAAAAGGATGAGGATCAGGTGAAGATCATTGGGGCCAGTTTGGAGGCTGGATATCACAAATAGATTTATTTGAGTTTTAGGGAAGTGAAAAGACATAATTCTGTAGTAAACTTAGCAAGTCATATTTGAGGAGAATGATTAACGTTTTTGTTTGAAAAAACTATAATCTATGAATATTTTTAAAGGGGCCAATTTTATGCTAGTTTTTCACATTCTGAGCAACTGTTACAAGTGAAAAACATGTTGTGGGTTTTTTTTTTTTGCAGATTATTTAAAATATGTGATGATATACATGGAAGTGCTTATTCCAATGACAGTGCAAACTTGGAGTCTCACGTTGGTTCAGTGAAAATCGTTCAAACAGAAATGAACAAAGGGAAATCAAGGAACTATAGCAATAGTAAACAGAAACCTCAATATTCTGCAAATGTGTTTATAGCAAATGATGCTTTTTCTGCTTCTGAAGTTGGAGAAACCATATTCAAAGCACCATCTTTTTCAGTTTCTCTCCAGCCTCATGACATTCAAGGTAATTCCTTGTTTTTTTCAGTTGGTTTTATAAAACTACAAACTAATCTGCATTTCTTAGCATAGGGAAAAATATAAAAATACAGTAAATTTGAGCAGGTTGTCTCTCTATGTGCAATTTCTGCATTTCTTTATTATGTTGTTGCATTATTTTTTAGCTGTACTATGTGTTAAAAATATTTTTAGCTGTGTGTTAAAAAATACTTTTAATTTTGCTCTCAATAAAAAGTTATACAAGTTTTATTGAGGCAGTTTTTAAGGAAAATGTTAAAAATATATAAATATGTAGGATTTTTTTTAGGGGTCACAGAAAATGGTTTAGGTTCCTTGAAGGCTGTCACAGAAATTCGTATCCTTTAAATTATTTACAACAGCTGCTTTATATTTATGAAATAATAATTTTTAAACATTTTGTTTGTGTTTCTATTTGTTTATTTTGGTCGACAACGAGGGAAAAGTGAATCTTTTGAGTCATGTAAGAGATAAACGTATGTAATAGTGCTACTCAAAGTGTGGTCTGCAGACTGGTGGCAATTTATGAACTGTTTATCAGTCTGTGACAAGATAAGTACCCAAATCAGATTTGTATTATTGGCAGAACTTTGAGCATATTTTTTTACAAATAGATACAGATAATTTCTTATACTTTGGGTAAGAACAGCCATATTGGGTTAAACTGGGTAGGGGAAATGGATGGGAATGGAACATTTTGTATATTAGGGACATTTTTACAAATCTAATATTTTTGAAAGAACCTAATTTGGAGTTTGGACATATAATACAATTTACATGTCTGGGCATTACCAGTGTAAGTATTTTGAGTATGTATGTGTGTTCTGGAGGTAACATCCTTTTTGCTTCTTCAATACCCCATATACCTATAACAGTGTACTTAGTCTGTTTTAATTCACCGGCTATTTATGTGACTATTTCTCTATGACCTATGAACTTGAAGGCGAGGATCATGCTTTATTTATCTTCCTATCTCTAAAGACATGGAAAGGCAGATAAAGTAAGGAAGTTGTTCTGGCAAAGGAGTAGCCATGAGCAAGGGTGAGGTAAGGTGTGGAATATGTTTGGAATGACTAAGCATTCCAGTTTGGCTGAAGTAAAAGATATGATTAAAGAAGTAATAGGAAATAATGTTAGATAGGTGTCTTAGGATCAGATTATTTAATGCCATGAATATCAAGGTCAAGGTTTTTTTGTTTTTATTTTTAATTTTAATTTTTCGCCGGCTTTATTGAGGTATGTTTGACAAATAAAAATTATATATTGTGCATCATTTTTCTTATCTGAAGATGAGGATAAGAAGTAATAGGGTTGCTGTGAATATATGCAGAGTGCTTAGCACAGTGTTGGAGATGTAGTGAGTAGTCAGTAATGGTAGAAATGATCATTAAAATTCCCTTATCTCTAAAAAAATTGTATATATGTAAGATATACAATGTGATGTTTTGTTATATGTATACATTGTGAAAATGATTACCACAATCAAGCTAATTAATGTATCTATTACCTTACATAGTTACCATTTTCTTTTTGTGGTGAGAATACTTAAGATCTATTCTCTTAGTATCTTATTTTTATTATTTATTTATTTAAAAATTTTTAGTATTTTTTGTAGAGATGAGATCATCTCACATGTTGCCCAGGCTGGTCTGGAACTCCTGGCCTCAAGTGATGCTCCCGCCTTCCATAGTGCTGGAATTATAGCCATGAGCCAACATGCCCAGTGTGTTTTTATTTTTAATAAATCTATTAAGCAATGAGGAGAAACTATGTAATATTTTTGAGCAGGTCAAATTATATCATCAAAACTATGCATTAGGAATATGGAAATAGTCACTCAACACTGAGGAATCCACAAAAGTTATGGTCTAATTGAAAAAACAGAAAGCAAATTCCAGATATTGGGCAGATGAGCTAGAGAAATCTAGGCAACAGTGACTCTAATCTTGGGTACTCTGGGGATCATCTAAGATCGTTCTGAAGTATGGTTAGAAAATATTTGCCTGACCATTTATGAAAAGTCGCCTCTAATGCAGATAATTGAATTGAGTTAAAATGGGGGGAGGGGACAATAAGAGAATTATATGTGATGATCTAACTGTAGACATAACCAGTCTCTAGCACTTTGTTCAACATGGTATCTCAATCCTGCAGCACTTCCTTTTCTCTGGTGATCAAAAAAAAAATAGATTAGCAGTAAGCAGTTAAGATTATTTAATTATCTGTATGATGGGAGATTCTTCTTGATCCTTTACTGGAAGCCATTCTATAATATGACACTGCTTTTTTATTTTTTGGTCAGTTAAAAAGGCCAAAAACTTTATGTAGTTTTCAGGGAAATATAAGATGCATGTAATCATAAACAAAATACAAAACAAACAAAAAAAAACCAAATCTTGTCTAAGCATGCTAAGACAGAACATTTTCCGCAGACCAAGGAGTCCCATCTAAGTGATAAAGGACACCTGGAAAGTGGCAAGCCAAGGGACTGGGGCACTGCCCTTTGAAGAGTTTTTTAAAAAAGATCTTTATGCCCTGTTAGCGCAGCCAAAGTGGTTCTGTTGTTTAGGTGTCTTTGTTAAGACTACTGCCTACACTTGTGTCCATTGATTTATTGTCCAAAAAGTTCATTTGCTGTCAAACTTATTGTACTATACTTTATTGTTTCCAAGTATGTATTTAAAGTGGAAGACTAAATGCTATTCATGGTAGTTTGAGAGTTTGTGGGTTACTTGGACACAAGTTATTTTCTGATTCTTTTAAAATATTTTACTATATTGAAATCCTCAGGACAATATAAGTTTTGTCAGATTGATCCTGCCACAGTACTCTTGTCATTTTCAGTTCCACAGATATTTTCCCCATTATAACATATAATTGCAGTGACACTGCTGAGAGTTTGTTGGACAAAAGGAAAAATTTGATTTTAAGTCTTGATAGTGATGATAAATGATGTTAGTATTTGAGTTTTCTCATGAGCTGGAAACATGATTCTACATCTACTCTGAATCAGAGATTCATTTTTGTGAATATAAATTGATATGGAACTATCTAATGAGAGAAGAACCAGCATGACAGCCCACTTGTGGGCTTGTTACAAATAAATATTTTATAGAAAGACATATTTTGAAGGAAAAATGAGATTCCTTCAAAAGCTGATGGATTTACAACTCAAAATTACATTTTTGTTTTGGCAGAAATATTCTGACACTCTGCACAACAGAAAGTAAAATGAAATTAATTACTTGATAAATGCTAACTTATATTAACTAAGTTCTTATTATGTGTCAGGCACTGTTCTAGGTATTTGGGATATGTCACTTGAGAAAGCAATGAATCCTTGCCATTGAGGAGCTAACATTCTTGGGATAAGGGTGGGTAAGAGGATAGATCTGAATGATTGTAACAGTATATAAATAAGTCATATAGTATTTTAGAAGGTGATGACTATTATGGGAAAAGAAAATACAATAGTAGAGAAGGGTAAGGGGATTAAATTGGGACTGTTGGAATTCAGGGCTCAGGGTGTAAAGAGAAATGGGGAAATTTGAGCAGAGAAGTCATATGATCTGATTTAAGTTATAACAGGATTACTACAGCAGTTCATCAGTTCTTGTATATCTTTGTAAAAAGGTAATTGTTTAAAAAACTGTATTTTTGTTCTCAGATATATTAATTATTAACTGCCTTATATCTAATAGATTATAACAGCTTCAATTATAGGAACTCATTTTCTTCTTCTTTTATAGCTTCCCATAGCTTTCTAAATCTAGAAATGTATTCTGCATATAGTGCTCAATAAATGTAGTTGACATATTATAAAATGAATACCATATAAATACAAATACATTCCAAGCTGGCAATAGACCCTCATCTTGGAGAGGGGACAGTTTATTCTTCTTCTCTATTAATATTTTTGAACTTTCTTATAGGGGAAGGATGATTTAAGTTCTTCTTTTGAGCCAGTACAATTAAATCCACCACTTAACCCACCTAAATTATCAAAAACAAAGGGATTCAGGAACTTACATCAGCTAATGAGGCACAATGAACAGTTAGTAAGTGAAATTCTGAACGTTAAAGAAGAGATTTAATTCACCCGTCAAGGTGAATTAAAAATAGCACTATTCTAGAAAAGATAAACTAGAAGTATAGTTATGATATACTTGCCTATATGTATTTGCATCTCTTCCATCATATTTAACTTTCAAGCTGTAACCCTTATGTAACCCTCTTGTTTTCCCTTTAGGAACTTTACGGGTTCTTTTCAGCATATGGAATGTAACTGGAGGCTAGAATAATTTCTGTTAATTCCTTTCTTAAGTTGTTAAAATAGCAACTATTAAAGCCTTATCATTAACTATTGTCAGAATTAATATCAATTTAACTGAATTTTTAAATTAAAAGTAACCAATTTTTAAAATTCGGAAAATTGACTCCTTAATGTTATTCTAAGCGGCAAAATTTCGAAGTATTTTCAAAGAATTCCCATATTTCAACTATATACAGTCCAAAGCCTTTGATGATGTAAGTATTTTATTATAATTACTTACTTATCTGCCTCTTCTCACTATATTGTATCCTCTTTGAGGGCAGGGACTAGATCACATCTTTATGTCCCCAGTGCTACATTCAGTGTCTAGTATATTACAGGAGCTCAGAAAATATTTGTTAAATGAATGCATGTGATTTTCATTGGTGGATGCATTTGTGTTTATACAGATTAGAATTTCTCAGGAAGCTAAAGGAATAAATTTTTTTTAAAGGAATAATTTTATTCTAGGTCTAGCATATTACTTTGACAAAATACCATGATAAAATATTAATAATGTTATTTTTTGAGGGTGGAGGGTCT